GAGAGAGAGAGAGAGAGAGAGAGAGAGAGAGAGAGAGAGAGAGAGAGAGAGAGAGAGAGAGAGAGAGAGAGAGAGAGAGAGAGAGAGAAGAGAGGAGGACAGGGAGGAGGAGAGGGGGTGATGTGAGTGGTGGCGTGTGAATTTTTCCTGCAGGCGCTACACAGAATGAGGCTCGAGAGATTGAACTGAAGATCGAACAGGTGAAGGAGAGGAGAGAGCAAGAGAAAGATGGCGAGGGGAGGAGCTGACATGTGCGGCAGGAGAACGCCAGACTGAATGTGCTCAACATGGAGCAGGTGGTGAAAGATCTCGAGCAGATCAAGACGGAGAACCAGACGATGACAAAGAAGCTCGAGCAACGATGATGATCACCATCATGATAGCGATGGATGAGGAGGAGGAGGAGGAGGAGGAGTGGCTTAGTTGTCTTTCATTACAGTGAGACTCTCTCACTAATCAGTGTACACAATCGCACATGCTCAAGCATGCGCGTTGAAGTTCCAGGGCTGCAGTGGAGGAGAGGAGCTTCCTATCGCTTGGTTGCGCTCATCTTCACTTCCTGGTAGAGTTTGCGAGCAAAGGGAGCCGCCATGACCGCTGCGAGCAAACGAGCACGTGAGGAGGAGGAGGAGGAGCACAGAGAGCGAGGAGGAGGTTGGCATATGAGGTTGTATGATCAGGAGATGACTGTGAGGAGGAGTAGGAGGAGAGGAGCAGGGCTGACCGAGGGTCGTCGTGAACGTGATCGCTTTGAGCTGAAGCATTTGCATGTCCAAACAGGAGACGCTTGCTGCGCTCCTGCAGCGCGAGTTAGGATGGCGAGGAGGGATGAAGGGCTCTTGCCTCTTGAAGTAGAGATGTAGAATCGTGACTTGTGCTTGCTGTGACAGCAACCTGCTGCTGTTGTGGACCTCCAGAATCAAGAAGTTCCTGATGGACAAGAAGGTGAGGGAGGAGATTCAGACTTGACACTGCTGTAACTTCTGTATCACAGCTCCAACAAGCAACTTCCTCCGTCGCTACCATCCATCCTCACCCCTTATGTGTATCTTCCGTCACTTCGCCACCTCATGATGACCTCTGTCCTTCAGGTTACATCCACCTACTCAAACAAATCCTGTTCTACTGGAATCCTGCCTTGATTTCTTTTCCCTTCCCTCCATTCCCTCTCTACTGGCTTCTGTCTCGTCTCGTCTCCTCTCCTCTCGTCTCGTCTCCTCTCGTCTCCTCTCGTCTCCTCTCGTCTCCTCTCGTCTCCTCTCCCCTCCTCTCCTCTCCTCCCCATCATAGTTTGTCTCCTTGCTTGGCATTTTCCTCCTCGCTCCAGTACCCCATCCTCAATTTTCTATCTCCCCACCCCACCCCCTCATTCCCCATCATGCAACCACTATGACCCATGGAAAATGGGGGGTCATCTACGACCCCCACCCTCAAAGTCCCACAGACAACCCCCAAATACGCCCCCTCTCGTGCGATTCAAACGGAAGAAACTGAGGGGTGGGGTGATAACCCCTACCCCCTATAATGAGTGAAAATTCCCTACACCCCTCCTAGGGCTGCTATAAAGGGCGCGGCCTCACAAAGCTTCTGAAAAGGACCCTACCCCCATTGTCCACCCAACACCCCCTCTATTCACCTTAATTGTACCCCTTCTTCGAGATAACCAGTACCCACCCCGTACACGCACGTCCAGAACAACCCGAGATACCGGCCCCCCTCATCCCCTCACGCCTCAGTCTCGTTCAAGTACGTCCGACGTACCGCAGGGCCGCCGGGCCTTCAGTGCCGGGCCGCCGCGGTGGGTGTAACGGTCCGACTCGGCTCGCCAGGGCCGTGCAGCCTCCGTTACTGCCCTGATACGGCAGGGCCGCTTCCGACGAGGCCGGGGGACGGTCGGACTGACGCGGCCCATCGGCGTGACGCGTCAGTAGCCTACCCGGCGTACTACCGGCGTTACGCGGCACCCGGAGTGATGGATCCGATCGTATCTCGGCCCGGAGAAAGATACCGTACAAATAGGGGGCTCCGGCAGTCCGGGCTAGTAGATTATTTAGTAGAAACTTTCTAGTGGGATCTTGACTTGATAAGCTTCGTCACTTTCTGCAGCAGAGAGTTCAGCTGGTTGTCCATCTTCTTCTTGAGCTGCAAGACCTGCAGACGTGTTAGAGTCTCGGAGACAGACAGGCTCCACTCGAAGTCACAGAGCGAGGAGAATGGAGGAAAGAGAGAGGGGGGAGGGGGAGATAAGGCGTTTGCTAGATGCTCACCTCCGCGGTCTTCTTCGCCTTAATCTTGCGCAATGCTTGGTTCATCTGAGTGCCTCCCACATCAGCGAGCTGCGTCTCCTGTCCTCCCCCGGTCCTCCGTCTGAGCGAAGCAGACTTGAGCTCCTGCATCTGGTTCTTCAGCTGCCGGATGGCAGAGACTGTCTCCTTCGCGAGTGTCAGCAGGGACATCTTCACCGCCTTCAACTCCGTGTCGCTCCTGCCTTTCCTTCGCCCTCGAGACCCAACCATACGATCCTCGTTTGCGTCTTCGCTGTCATCCCCCATGGTCACCGCCATGAGCTCCTTGCGCAGCTTCGCCTGCTCCATCTTGGCCTTGAGGATCTTCACTCGCCATTGTGCCAAGTTATACGCATGCTCTGCAGCGTCCTCCGCCGCCCACTCCATGGGAAGCTGCTGGCTGGCGGGAGCAGGGTAGGGAACCGGAACCTGTTGCACGGGTGCCTGCTGGGAAGGAACATTGACAATGATCTGGTCGGGGTTCTGACTGCAGTCTGATCCCCCGCAGTCCTCTGCTTCAGGCTCCGAGGCCTGGGCCTTAGGCTCAACCTCCTCCCTCACCTTGCCGTCTGGCTCGACCACCTCCTTGACCACCTCCTTCTCGCGCGGCTGGGCAGCCGGGGCTTCAGGCACACCAGCATCATTCATGGGCTCAGCAACAGGACGTTCCTCAGCCGCTGCTGCTGGCATCTCCTCTGCTTCCACCGCAGCCGCTGCTCCATCGCCACCAGCTGCCACTGGCTCGGCAGCTGGCTCTTCGGCCGCACCCGCTGGCGCTTGCTCTTCCCCCTGTTCCCCCTGCGGTTCCTCAGCAACGGCAGTAGGCTGTGCCCAGACGCCCGTGGTCGGTCTGATCCCGTTGCCGTAGATTCGGTCATACATCCACGTGTTCCCTCCTCGCTCCCAGGTCGGAGGGCCCTGGGACGGCACCGGGTGCAGCCCTTCAGCTCCTCCCATGGCGCCCATGGCCACTTGACCTTGGATGAGAGACTGGGTTCGAGCAGCAGATACTTGGGCATCTCGTAGACGTTCAGGCCCGGCGTGAAGATTCCCTCCTGATCGTCAAGTCACGATTCGACCCTCCCACCAGCTTCACCGCCTCTCGCATGACCAAGTATCAACATGCCACAAGGCTCATGGCTGACTACACGACAGGCTTCCAGGGAATCTAAAGATATCAATGATGTCCATGCCATAGCAACCAGCCCATCCTCGGGCTCCTTCGATCTCCTCACACATTTCTACAACTACTCAGGTCGCTTTTCAAAGTCAGCTCGAAACCAAGACAAGTGCTGATGCCTCAATTGACATCCTTCCTTTCCCCTTCAACGAAGCAAGGTCTCGCCTCAAGAATTATCGACCTCAAGCTAATGGTGAGGTCTATCCTCCATGCTCTTCCCACACCTACTCAGCCTGCCCTCACTGCACCTCAGCCAACCCCTCGCTTCTCCATCCTCCTCCCTTGCCTGATCTTCATCTTCACGTGTGTTTCTTCATACCTGAGTGAGCTCGGTCGACGGCTTGCTTGTTGATGCATACAAGTACATCATCATCATCGCCGCCGCCGCCGCCATGGCCGCCGCTCCTCCAGCCTTCCCCACCATCATCGCCGGCGCCTCTTCACAACCTCCGTTACAGATCGTTACTTTAGCCGTTGCGACTTATACAGACCGTTATCGCCTTGCGTAAGACAAGTCATCAGAGATGATAAATCTGGGGGTGGGTAGTCAATAGTCCAGACAAAATTGGGGGTGGGGGGTACGATCGGAAGTGACTCTTCGCACTTGGCATGCAGAGGCGATAGGGGCAGAAGAAGAAGAAGAAGAAGAAGAAGAAGAAGAAGAACAGAGACTGTCTTGCGCTAACACGTCGCTGACTGAGTTGAGAGATATCTTCTCATCTTGTCTCATTCTTTTCATTCCTTGTTGAGACTTTCTTGTCCAAATGGTACAAGCAAGTAGGAACGTGAACATCCATGAGCCAGCCAGGGATTTGAGCTCCTTCAAGCTCAAGAGCAAAGATCCTCGAAGATCGATGTTTGTAAACAGCCTAGCGCTTGCCGCTTCATGTATTGTCTTCGCTGCTGCCCTGCTGATGCTCGTTTCGTCTCCCGGGAGACCGGAGGAGCCGAACTCACGGGTCAAGTCAGTGCTCCTCCAGCATGCGGTCACTCAGAAGTTGGAGCAAGAGAACAAGTGCGACAGCGCGTGCCAGCAGAAGAAGCAGATGGTGGCAGCCGAGATGAAGCAACTGCGCGAGCAGATCAAGCATGATTATGATAGCATGGTCACCTTCGGAAACAAGGCCGGGTACGTACCTCCCGTTCGCTCCATCAAGGAACAGGTCATGGATGGAACCCTCCTGGGGGGCAGTGATGATGGTCCTGCTGCTCCTCCTCCTTTCGACCCCAAGCTCGCTGCCAAGCCCGGCAAAGCCTTCGGGGCTGCCAACATGAAGAAGCTCCTTGCATCGCAGGAGCCTCATTCCCAGGCAAGATCGAGAAGATCCTCCTCCTCCTCCTCCTCTATCCTACCTCCCGTTCAATCTCCGGATGACGTCGCCAAGAAATTCCTTCAGGACGTTCCATCATCCAAGTCTAGCGATGACTTCACTTCCTCGGTGCTTCACCCCAGCCTCTCGTCCAAGATCAGCATGCACAGCAAGTCCAGCAAGACACACAGCAACAAGGCTTGGGAGAAGGCGTTCAGTTTCATGAAGCATCACCAACATTCCCAGGCCAGGGCTGAGCTGCATGACATGGCCAAGAGAGGACACGTGAACCCCGAGCCTTCGGTGGTGAGGCGAGCAATGCAGAAGGCGCTTTCCTTCGACTTGTAAGTCCAGCACTGTCTCCTCTCACTCCCTCTCCTCTGTTTCCTCTAGCTCACGAAAGGGTCAGGCAAAAGTCAAGATCGGAAGTGGCCGGCGACAAGCTTCTCGGCTTGCATCTCGGACACCACTCGTCGGTGGTAAGATTGAGAAGCTGAGGTTAAAAGGCTGACGTTGATGCAGAAGCGTCACGGGGATCCGCTGGGAGGAAGGTTTCTCCGTGACTTCTTCGGCGACTACAAGAAGCACTGACCGGTTGGATGACGAAAACCTAACTGTAGCAGCCTATTTTCTTGAGATTTTTTCTTAGTTAAAACATGCAGCGATAGCGATGAGATTCTGTAATTCCTATATGAGCAAGCGCATCTGCTGTTTTGTTGCCCGATCGTTTGGATTCGTCGATGTCTTCTGCCATGGATTCGTTATTCCTCTTTCCTCTTAGTCCATTCTTCCTCGGAGGGTCCTTGTGATCACTCGATCGGGACAACTGCACAGCCCGTCAGAGCAACGCCAGTCATAAGCGTGAGATACATGATGTGGACGACAGCTCCCCATCCGCTCAGACAGTCTCTGTCCTGTCCCGCGAGAAGACACTGAGAAACGGTTTCGAAGAGCTCTTCGGGCTCAAGGTCTGCAGCAAGTCAGAGAGTCATTGAAACCTAGGGTGACATCGCTTCACCTTTCCGCCACATTGATTCACACATCCCCATAAGCTGCTCTGTACATGTGCCTGCTACAACAAACCCATTCGTGTCCATGTCTGGGAGGAGAGGAGCCCCGATAAAGTCGGAAGAGAAGAGGTACGGCTTGTTCTCCTTGTCCAACCCCGCAATGACCGGCTCAATGAAGTACGGACCGAACCTGCCTCCAACGTCAAACGCCTCCCCCACGTCCCTTACACACCAACCGCTTTTCGTAGAGGAGAGTCGAGACCATCTTTCCGAACGAGGCGGGCTTAATGAGCCTCTCCTGCCAGGCTGTGAGTGACATGGGGGAGAGCTAGTGGGTCAGACCTCTCTGAGCGAGTACATGGCCAACCTGAACTTCAATCTTTCGTAAAAGGTCTGCTGGTCGGTGGCAAGGCCAGCAAGACCGATGAAGAGCCTGATTGCAAGGAGTCACGAGACTCTACACCACTCTCAATGTACAGTACTGGTCATGCATCTTGTACACTTTCGTCTTGTCTGTCGCTAGAGTCTGGTATTGCGCACCATATCGCTTGTCGCATGCAATCGCTACACAGTTTTTCCCCGCCATGCCAATAACGCAGCCACCATTGTACTCCGTGATAGACTGCCAAGAAGATTAATGATGTCTTTCAGGATGTCTTTCATCGTGTTGTTTCAAGCACACTCGTTCTTATCTCTGCTCCTGGAGCAAAATCTTGCCTTGCCTCTCCTGTTAATGCTTGCCTTTTGCCTTCAGCCAGTCCTTTCTTCCTAGCAAAACATTTCCAAGAACCTTCTATCTATGCTCTCAACACGCTATCCTCTTCTCCGTTATACCCTCGACCAATTTTTGGATGGGAATTGACAGAAGACAGAGAAGGTGAGAGGAGTGCAGGTGAGTGTAAATCACATTGAGTGGAAGAGAGAGAGAAGATGATAATGAGAGCAGGGACGAGAATAGTTGGCAAAGGGCTCTCTCACACAAGTATCATCTTCTCCCTCTCCCTCTCCCTGTCTCCCTCTCTTTTCGTCTGCTGTCTCTCCTTTTTCTAACTACTTCCATCTTCTCTCCTCTCCTCTCCTCTCCTCTCCTCTCCTCTCCTCTCCTCTCCTCTCCTCTCCTCTCCTCTCCGCTCCGCTCCGCTCCTCTCCTCTCGTCTTCTCCTCTCTGCTCTCCTCTCCTCTTCTCTCCTCCGCTCCTCTCCTCTCCTCTTCTCCTCTCTGCTCTCCTCTCCTCTTCTCTCCTCCTCTTCTCTTCTCTTCTCTCCTCTCCTCTCCTCTCCTCTTCTCTCCTCTTCTCTCCTCTTCTCTCTCCCCTCCCCTCCATCGCTTACCATTTTTGTCTCCGCCACCTGTCCTTCTGTGCACCACCACCCCACCTCGAACAGGAATTTGTGTACCCCCTATAAAGTACCACCCACCACATGAAATAGTCTCATTCAATATATATTTCTCTAGAAAGGACCCCTTATATGGATACCCCCACCCACCAATTGATGTGCCTCACCTCGGACGAGCCTGAGAGCGTAAATAAGCTAAAGGCATTTGAAAACAAGAAGAGCTAAATCATTAAAAATGATAGAAATGAGAACCAGAAGTTCGCCCAACCGGATTGTGGCGACACGAATGCAGGACAAGAGGAGGAAGAGCGAGAGGAAGAGGAGGAGGAAGTGGAGGAGGAGGACGAGGAGGACGAGGAGGAAGAGGAGGACGAGGAGGACGAGGAGGTCGAGGACGAGGACGAGGACGAGGACGAGGACGAGGACAGCAGAAGGAGAGGGAGAGGGACAGGACAGGACAAGATAGGAGGGGGAAAGAAGAAGAGGAGAGGAGGAGAAAGCAGAAGGAGAGGAGAGAATAGCAGAAGCAGGGGGTGGTAGGAAGGAAAGGAGAGGAGATCAAGGTCAGTTCAGGGCAAGATAGGTGTGGAGAGGAAAGAGAGGAGGAAAGGCATCAGTACAAGAATAAAGAGCAGCGGAGAAGACAGCAAGCGAGTCTGTTGACAAGTTCAGTAGGTTTTACGCGCTGACGTCGTCATGCTCATTCCTACTTTCCTTGCTCTGTTGACACCACTGGTGCCACTGGGAGGAGGAGGAGGAGGAGGAGGAGGAGGAGGAGGAGGATTTTCTTTGCATTCTCCGCATGTTCGGGCAGGGCGACCTTCTCTGCTTCCTCTCCTTGCCAAGTGGCATGGCCGTCAGCCGTTTCCTCCTCCCGTGGTGTTCGAGGCGGCAGAGGAGCACACGGCCAGCATCATCTTCCTCCATGGCTTCGGGGCGCAAGGGGCCGGGCGGGGGCAGCAGCTGGAGGAGCAGCTGGACTTGCCGTGGTGTCGCGTCGTGTGCCCCCTCGCCCCTCTGCGCCCCACCAGCATGGGGGACAGGCAGAGCTGGTCGAGCGTCGACCTGCTGCCGCAGCGACTGCTGGCTGGGGAGGGAGGAGGGAAGAGAAGGAGAACGACGGGAGAGGAGGAGGAGGAGGAGGAGGAGGAGCAAGGATGGAGAGACGGCTTCCCACAGGGAGGAGGAGAGAACTTGAGGGTAATCGAGGAGGATGAAGTTGACGCGTCGCGCAACGCCGAGTACATCAAGCGCCTCATTCGAGCTGAGATGCGAGCTGGAGTGCCAGCAGACCGGATCCTCCTGCTGGGGTTCTCTCAAGGCGGATGCGTCGCTCTGAGAGCTGCCATGACACTTGAGGAACGAATAGGAGGAGTCGTAGCTTGCTCTACGTCAGTGAATCCTGCTCCTCCCTCTCCTCCTCCCTCTCCTCTCCTCCCTCCCTCCCTCTCCCTCCTTCTTTCCCTTCTCACTTCCTTCAGGTGGTTTCCGCGGCTCAGGAGCTCAGCGCGAGTGAGCGCTACAGCGAGAGAAGTTCCGATCCTCCTCCTGCACGGCAAGACCGACTGGGTTGTTCCTCCTGCTCTTGGACGGCAAGCGGTGAGGAAGAAGAGTTGAGAGAGAGGAAGAGAAGAGGGGGGGGGGGCGGGGGGGGAGGGAGGGGAGGGAGGGGAGGGGGGAGGGGGAGGTGGTGGGGATGATGGGGCTAAGGGGAAGGCAGGCGGAGATTTGCAGGAGGATTGGACTCCAGGCATCCTTAGAGGAGTTTGAGGTAAGACAAGAGGAGCAGGAGAGGAGGAGGAGGGAGGAAGGGGGTAGAGGAAGAGAGAGGAGGAGGAGACTGAGAGACGGGCAGGGCGTCGGGCATGACATCACTCCTGAGATCATCCGGAGGCTCAGAAAGTTGATGCAGGAACTCGCTCCTCGAATAAAGTTGACATGACAGAGGACGAGGAGCCGCCACCACCACCACCACCACCACCACCACCACCACCTCCTCCTCCTCCTCCTCCCCCCCACCTCCACCCCCACCAGGCCGTTGAAATGAGAGGAAGAGGGTTGATGAGATCTTTATAGTACACAGTCAAAAGGACGTTAAAGATTGAAGGTAAGAGAGGAGAAGAGCAGGAAGAAGAGCACAAGGAAAGGAGGAAGAGCAGGAGAAGGAGGAGGTAGAAGAGGAAGAGGACGAGGAGAAGGAGAAGGAGCAGGAGGTGGAAGAGGAGGAGGAGTGAACGTGGAGGATGAACGGACGGGCAGCTTTGTCACTTCACACCGTCTGGGCTGTCAGTCCTCCGGATCTTGTAAAGCTTATGCATCTGCATCTGAGTGAGACGAGAAGAGGAAGAGAGGGAAGAGCAGGAGCAGGAGCAGGAGCAGGAGCAGGAGCAGGAGGTACCTTGACTTTCTGGTCGTGAATCTTCCGGTCATGAATTTGAATTTCTCCGATAATCCTGAGGGAGGAGGAGGAGGAGGAGAAGACAACGCAGACTTGAATGTCTCTGTACCCATCCTCCACCTCCTCCACCGCGAACTTGTTCTTGACGCGCACCAGCGGCATGAGGGGATGCATGCTGCTGCTTCCCGTCACCCACCCGAGCACCTCCAACATCTGCGAAGGGCCTTCACAGACGATTGAAGAGCGAACCTGAGCGAGAGTCAGAGGAGGAGGAGGAGGAGGAGACGGAAGAGGAAGGAGGCGGTCTGACCGGATCGAGGATGTGGCGGGTGAGGGGCCAGGTCTTGCCGTCCTCCGCATAGTCCTCGAGCTTCTCACGCATCCTCTCCTTCCGCTTCACTGGCGCACTGCAGACCTCCACCACGCTCCTGCCGTCCTCGAAGTCGCAGTCCACGAAGATGCCCGAGCGAGACCCGGCTGAGCTCGAGCCGGAAGCGAGGTGGGAGTGGTGCTGGAGAGAGGGGGAGGCGGAGGCGTGGGAGGCGACTAGCTCGAAGACCCTGCGCTGGAACTCTTGGTCGAGCAGGTTGGCACGCGAGTGAAGCTGAGAGAGGAAGAGATCCTCCTCGAGCACGTGACCACCCTCCACCTGCCTTCCCAGCTGACTCTCCTGCTGGTACCTCATCTCTTCCCTCGCCGCCTCGTCCACGCGTATGGCCCCTACCTGTTATGGCAATCAGGGAAAGAGAAGGAGGACGAGGACGAGGACGAGGACGAGGACGAGGACGAGGACGAGGACGAGGTGGAGGACGAGAAAGTCGAGGACGAGGACGAGACCTCGGAATGGTCTTGCGTGTGGATACCAGCAGGACCCCAGCTGATCTCGGGAAGGGCCACGAGCTTGAGGCCATGAGGGAGGGACTGCATGTCGTGGTAGCGGCTGGTGCAGGAGGCCGCCAGGTAGTCCATGTGCTCCTTGAGCTCCTCCTGCAGCAGCGCGAACATGCGCGGGTAGTCTCGCCACATCCTCAGCTGCAGGAGCTTCTCGCGGAAGTACTGGAAGCGAAATTCAAAGTCGTCGTCCACCAGATTCGACAAGGCCCCCTTCGTCCTCCTCCCTGAGCCTCTTCCATCCCCCCCTCCGAGTCTCTGCCCCTCCTCCTTGTCCGGCAAGTCCATCCATATGGAGAAGGAGTGCGTGGGATCGAGGAGCTTCACGCAGACGTTCACGATCAAGTGAAGGAGGAGGAGCATCCGGGACCCCTCCTCCGTCAACGGCTTCGCCAAGTCCATGTTCCCCCAGCTCTCCTCCTGCTCTCTGCTCCTGCTGCGAGCATCGACGTCCCTCAGGAACGTGCCTAGCAGGTCGACAGCTCGAGGGTCGAAGTCTCGCATGCAGAAGAGCGACGAGATGGCGACGAGCTGGGAGAGGGAGAGGGTGCCTTCCACCTTCCTCCTCCTCCAGCTCCTCACCAGCAGGGATCGCTCGCGCGCCAGGAAGAAGCCATCTTCAGCTCTGATTCTAAGCGCCTCCCTCACTTCCGCCATCGCCCGCTTGAGCTCAGAGTCCAACTCCTCCTCCAGCTGACTTCGCCGCCAGTACACGAAGATCGCCCCGCAGCAGCAGCAGGTGAGGAGGAACAGGAGGGAGGGGACGATGATGATAACGAGCAGCAGGGTCTTGCTGAGAGAGGTCCCCCTAGGAGCAGGCACGAGAGGAGGAGGAGTCTGGGCATCCTCAGTCGACCCGGGGGCAGGAGGGAACACGTCCTTGGTCTTCAGCAGCCCTCGCGTCACGCTCCAAGTCGCCACCACCTCGTAGATGAGAAGCCCCGAGCTGGAGACCAGGAGCTGACCAACTTCGAAGTCAAACCCCAGCAGCGCCCGATCTCCGGTCTGGTTCACAAACCTCACTTCTCCTGTCAGCCCCGCAAATTCCCGCTTTCTCGTCTCGTCTGCCAGCTCACGCCCTCCGCCCGTGCTTCCTGCCAACCCAAACGCCATCGCCCACACAGCGTCGTAAGCGAAGGCAGCAAGAATGGAGGGAGAGGAGGAGAAGGAAGGTTCTAGGCCGACGGCTGCCGCTGAGGCGTTGGCATCCTCCCACATCTTGAGCATCAGACCCTCTCGTCCGGTCAGCGGTGCCTCCCGGATCCACAGCCAGCCGGCGAGCAGCTGGCGAGCAGCTGGCGGATTCTTCATGCCGCCCACGAGAACCTCCGGGTCAACCTCGCCGGCGAGCACCCACGTCCTGTCAGAGAGCAGCTGATGCGCGTCTGCCAAGGCGAGGAGAAGTTCGAGCAGGTCGGAGCTGCTGCTGTAGAGGAGGATGACGGAGGCAGGGGAGGAGGCGATGGAGGCCATGAGAGAAGCATCGGGAGGGAGGCTGACCGGTAGAGCCTCTACCATCACCCCTGGTTCCTGCAGTAGCTTCAGCCCGGCAGCGAACTCATTGCCTTCGGGAGAGTCTTGGTAGAGGGCCAGTATGGAGCTGAAGGCGTACTGCTTGAGGATGGTCGCGGCGGCGAGGGCGTCGAACTCGAGGGTGAGGGAGGTGCGGGAGAGGAAGGGAAAGAGAGCCTTGTCCGCAAACGACTTGAGCTTGGCGCTGTAGCTCATCACCGACAAGCCGCTCGGGGCAGTGAGCGAGCATGCGGCTTCAAGCTCAAACGTGTCGAGGTTTGCGACTATGGCGTCGGGTGGCTGCGACCACGACAAGATGTCACGAGCGATGAGAAGAGGCGAGAAGGAGGTCTGGAGGAAGGAGACGTTGAGCTGGAAGGGACGCGGGAGGGAGGCAGCCTCCTTGACCACCACGTTGCTCCTCGCGTTGACATGCCGAGCTGCGATGGCGAGGGCGAGGAAGGCGTCCCTGAGGTCATTAGACGAGAAAGCAGAGGTGTTGCTCGCCGACCGCAGGGGAGAGACGAAGAGGAGGCTTGCGCTGGTTCTTGCGGAGAATCCGAGGGTCAGGTGCGATAGGAGCAGGAGGAGACAGAGAAAGTTGGCATCAGCCATGGGGACACGGAGATCAGGGAAAGAATTTGTTGAGTTCCATGCTGAAGAACCTGTCCAAAAGACATCAACGGCAAAACATGACTTCCAACTATTAAAATGTCTCTCTCGAAGTGTTTTCCTCTTGTTCCAGCACCCTGACTTTGTCATTCTTCAACCTCACTGTCTTGTCTACTGCTCAGCTCAGGCCTTGTCTTGTCTACTGCTCAGCTCAGGCCTTGTCTTGTCTACTGCTCAGCTCAGGCCTTGTCTTGTCTACTGCTCAGCTCAGGCCTTGTCTTGTCTACTGCTCAGCTCAGGCCTTGTCTTGTCTACTGCTCAGCTCAGGCCTTGTCTTGTCTACTGCTCAGCTCAGGCCTTGTCTTGTCTACTGCTCAGCTCAGGCCTTGTCTTGTCTACTGCTCAGCTCAGGCCTTGTCTTGTCTACTGCTCAGCTCAGGCCTTGTCTTGTCTACTGCTCAGCTCAGGCCTTGTCTTGTCTACTGCTCAGCTCAGGCCTTGTCTTGTCTACTGCTGAGCTCAGGCCTTGTCTTGTCTACTGCTGAGCTCAGGCCTTGTCTTGTCTACTGCTGAGCTCAGGCCTTGTCTTGTCTACTGCACAGCTCAGGCCTTGTGTTGTCTACTGCTCAGCTCAGGCCTTGTCTTGTTCTTCTCCTCCCCCTCCCTTCCTACGTCTTCATCGCGCGACTTGTTTTTGCAGATCTTGTATCCGAGACAAGATTCGAACAGGGTGGGGTCCAAAACTAGTCAAAAGAAGGGGTACTCAATAGAGTAGAGGAAAAGAGGGGGACGGACGCAACCTCACCACCGGTGGGGTCATGGAGAGGTAAAAGAAGGGGTAGGGGTACTTACCAAGAGACCGCTGGAAACAAAGGAACCAGACCCGATAATGATGATGGGGGTGGGTGACTATGTAGGGTGGGGTCAAACATAGGAGCTAATTGCTCAACAGTGGGGTGATGGTCTCCTGAGGTGGGGTAGGGTCTAGGGGGTGGGGTAGAGAAGGTGGGTAGGCGGTCTGAGCTGTAGTCACTCAGGTCTGCCTCAGGACCAGCAGGCGATTGTCACGGTCAGGGAGTGGTTGGCCCGACTCGTCAGAACTGAGTTTTCAGAGTCAAGTTTCCGGTGACTTCCTCGGACTCGAACTTGCTTCGGAACTCGCGGCTACCTTGCTTACCTTGGCACTGACACAGTGACGGTCGTCGGTCGCTCGTTGGCCTGGCCTGGGCTGATCTGATTGAGTGAAGCGTGACGAAATCATCGAGTCAAGCTCACCGGTGCTTCCCGGCGTGACATCCGACGACCGTGACCGGGTCAACTTGAACGCACACAAAACTAGAATTGAGGAGCACATGAGAGCATCCAGACATGAGGGGACCTTAGCAAGTGACGCCGACCTAGGAAGGTCTCCTCCTCGTCTCTGCACTACCGTGGCATTGCCGCTAGGAGTCGTCTTGGTTTACAGGAGAGTTTTTGTTAACTCGGCGCTATCAGGCTAACTGGCACGGCTGGCATACGATCCATCAACATCCTCATCCCTGGGATCTGCGATCGTGGGTCTGAGCAGTACTAGGGCTTGATTGGTAGCTCTGCCAACCTGACCAAGTGGGGGGAAGTCAACCTCGACTCCTTCCATGTCCTAGCGACTGTTGCTTGACGCTTCCTGCTTGTCTGCGCGGCCGCGCTTCGCGCGTGGGCTGGCGGTGCCGGGTCTGCTGACAGTTGCCAGCAGTGCTGGTTCTTTTTGGTTTGTTTTGTTGTGTGTGTTTGTGCAGCTTCTCGCTGTGCGCTGTGTGCATGCAGGGTTGCGGCTTGTTCCTGCTTTGTTCTGCTTGAGGCACTTTTTACCTTGTGCGAGTAAAACTTCGACCAGTCGAGCACTCTCGGAGTTTTACTCGCATAAGGTAAAAAGTGCCTCAAGCAGCAACAAGCAAAACCGTCAGGCAGAGAGCACACAGCAACAAAAGCAACAAACGCGGCTCAAACACCGTTAACTTGCACAGCTGAAGGCCCCGTACTCGCTCAAGTCGCAGGATAGGGTCTTGCAGTCTACCATCTTCGCTCATTTTCCTGAACGGGACCTGAGCCACTCTACCCCCTCAAGGCCTTCCCGCACCGCTATGCTCAGATGCTCGACTGCTATCTCCATGGCATGCCGATCTGCCAGTGTCCGACGGAATGTGATGGATGTCAGCGCGAGCTCGATCCTTCCGTTGCTGCGCATCATCTCCAGACCTGCAAGCGGTCGGGTCCCGCCGGTTCTTGGGCATTGCTGCGGCGTCGCCGCCGTCAAGGGCGGTGTAGGTCTCGGCTACCGCTGACTCGGAGGCTAGCGAGGAGGACTACCTCGAGCGGTACCCGGTGTTCCTGTGTCCAGCCTCCCTCCGTCCGCTGCCCCAGGCGGACCCCCGGGCAACGCCGGCTCCTTGTCGGCGGCTGCCCTTTCTCCGTCCGCGGCCGCCAGCTTTGTCAGTGGCGGCAGCGGACGTCTCGACTGACAGTGGTCAGTCGGCTGCCTCCGGGTATCGCGTCTAAGGGATTTTCTTCCTCCTGCATGCTCCTGCTGGCAGGCTTGTTGCTTGACAGTGATTGCTTGACCCTTCGGCTGCTTGTCTGCGCGGCTTCGCGCTTGGGCTGGCGATGCCGGGTCTGCTGACGGTTGCCAGCAGTGCTGGTTCTTTTCGGGCTTGTGTTTTGTATGTGATTGTGCAGCTTCTCGCTGTGGACTGTGTACCTGCCGGTTCAGCTTGTTCCTGCTTTGTTTGCTTGAGGCACTTTTTACCTTCTGCCAGTAAATCCTATATCCAGTCCTTATACGAGTAAAACTCAGCATCTACTTGAGCGAGTACGTCCTGCGGCAAGATGAGGATAACACGCTGCTGATCGGTAAGCGAGCGCGGCACGAGCATGGACATGGCGAGAAATGAGGAAACACCCGCATTACAACCTCCGAGCTCGCCTGCTTGCTCCCCTCTGGACCCTTGGGCACTGATAGCTGCGGCATCGTCGCCGCCCGCTGAGGATGGTGAGGTTTCATGTGTGTTGTATGTTCTTCTCTTCTTTGCACCGCTTTTGTCGCCGTGTGTTATGTGCGTGAAGATCTTACTTGTTCCTCCTTCTTGTTGCTTGATTGCCTGACCCTTAGGCTGCTTGTCTGCGCGGCTTCGCGCTTGGGCTGGCGGTGCCGGGTCTGCTGACGGTTGCCAGCAGTGCTGGTTCTTTTCGGGCTTGTGTTTTGTATGTGATTGTGCAGCTTCTCGCTGTGCACTGTGTGCCTGGAGGTTTAGCTTGTTCCTGCTTTGTTTTGCTTGAGGCACTTTTTACCTTCTGCCAGTAAATCCTATACTCTACTGCTCAAGCT